TTCCCCTCCACTGCAGTTGCCGTGCCCCCCCCCCCAATCAGTAAGTGACCCCTCCCTGGCAAAATGCATTTCTGCCATAGAAGAGGCCCCAGTTGCAATGAATTTTTACAGTTTTTTTCCATAAGATTTGTCCACCCAGCAATTGACCCCCAATTACCCTAGACAACCATTCATTTCCAACCCCTCCCTTGGCAAAATACCACTAGGGCGGGGTTTCCCCACCCCCCCTAATTTTTTTTCTACTGCTGACCTATACCTGCAATCGGGGTCCTCACTCCTATGTCTACCAAACATCATTGCCTCCAGCACTAGACAGTAACAGGTTTTGTCCCTTCCCTCCATGATTTCTCCAGACGGCTAACAATATCCCCCCATCCCACCCCAGAAAGCAAACCCTCTGTCTCCTTACCTTCAGCAGAAGCCCCATCCCCAAATTTGGGTACCCAACAAAACTATTTTATCATCCTTTGTGCGTTGTCGTGGTTCCCATATGATTTTTAAAAAATTTTTATATATTAAAATTTTATATATATTTTATATTATTAAATTTTTATATTTTTTTTTATATAAAATTATATATAATATATAATAAAAAATATAATTTAAATTTTTATTTATAAAATTATATAATAATTATAATATAAATATAATAATTTTAAAAAATATATATTTAATATATTTAAAAAATATATATAAATTATAATTATATATTTATAATTAAAAGCTGCCGAATATTAAAATGGGCTTCAAAATCTTTAAAATAAATTTTTTTATTTTTTTAAGTTTAAAATTTTTTTTCAAAAAGAATTAAAAAAATTTTTCCCAAAAAATTTTGAAATTACCAACCAAAACAAAAATTTTTTTATAAAAAAATTTTTTTTTGTTTTTTTTTTAAAGAAAAAAAATTTTTTTTTGTTGGGTTTTTTGGGAAAATTTTTTAAAATTTTTTTTTCCCTTTTTTGGTTTGGAAGGCTTGGGTTTTGGGGTGAGTTTTGTTTGGGGGGGTTTTTTGGTTTATTTTGTTGGTTTTTTTGTTTTTTTTGGGGGGGTTTTTTTTTATGCTTTATTATTTAAGTGGGGTTTTGTTGAAATTTTTTTTGTGGGTTTTTTTTTCCCCCTTTATCGGTGTTTTTTTAAAAGGGTTTTTTTTTTTTTGTTTTTTGGTTGGGGTTGGTTGGGGGTTGTTTTTTTTAATTGGTTTTTGTTTTATTTCTTTGGGGTTTTTTGTTTTTTGGTTTTTTCCCCGTTTGTTTTGTGTTGTGTTTTAGTTTTTTAAAATTTTTGGGGGGTTGGGGTAGATTTTGGGTTGTTTTTTTGGGGGTTGGGTGGGGGTTTTTTTTTTTGTTTTTGGTGGTTTGGTTTGGGTTTGGGTTTTGTGGTTTTTTTTTTGTTTTTTTTGATTTGTGGTTTTTTGTTTTATTTTGTTTTTTTTTTTGTTGTTTTTTTGGTTTGTTTTTGGAAATTCTTGTTTTTGGTTTAGTTTGGTTTTTTTTGGTTGTTTTTTTTTTTTTTGGATTGGGGTTTTGGGTTTTTTTTTTTTTGTTTTTTTTGTGGATTTTTTTTTTTTTTTTGGTTTTTTGGTTTTTTTTTCCTTTTTGGGTGGATAAATGTTTTTTTTTTTTTTTTGGGTTTTTTTTGTTGGTTTTTTGTTTGGGGTTTTTCCCCCCCCGTTTTTATGGTTTTAATGGTTGGTGGTTTTTTTTTATCGATTGTTTTTTGGCCGTTTTTTGTGTTAAAAAAAATGGGTTTTGGGGGTTTCCTGTTTGTTAACCATCAGTGTTTGTGTCCCATCCCTTCATTTTTCCTTTCCAAACACTGTGGTTTGGGGGGCCTGGGGGGTGGGGGACTGGTTGATACTGTGGGTTTTATGGTTGGGGGTGGGTGGAAGCTGTGGATATGGATTGTATTGTGTGTTGGGATGGTGTGATAGGTTGTGGGGTTCTGAGGATAGTTGTGTGTGTGCTTGCTCTTGCTGCTCTGTTCTGCTCTGACTGACCTCTGCTGGTTCCATCCTTGTCTCCTTTCCTAGCTCCTTTCGCTTTTTTGTCCTCTCCCTCAGCTGCTGTCTCTCTTTTTGTGTTCTGTCTCTGTCTAGGAACACCTTCTTGTACTCTTCCGAGCTTCTCAACCGTGGTTTTTCTTGGATCCTGTTCCGCACTGTTTCTGTCCTGAGAATCAGCTTGATCGGTCGGTTTCTCATCCATGTCTTCTCCCCCTATTTCCGTGATGATTTTCTCAATCTCCTTTCTTTCTTCCTGCCGTCTTTCAGTGTGTGTCCTTTCCTCTCTTTCCCGAAGGCCATGGATAAACACTGATTTTGCCCTTTCCTCCTCCCAGTGCCTCTCCCTCTGTGACTCTGGTTCCTGTCTGTATGTGGTCATTTTCTCCCTTGATTTTTCCAGTGGCTCTTGGTAGCATGGTTGTGCCTCAGCATTCGACCTATCTCCCTCTCCATCTGCACCCATCTGCTCTTCCCTTCCTAAGAAGCAAGATCACCACCCATCTAGAAACCCATCAGTTACACAACCCAGGGCAACATGGGTTTAGAACAGGTCGCTCCTGTCTGTCTCAACTATTGGATCACTACGACAAGGTCCTAAATGCACTAGAAGACAAAAAGAATGCAGATGTAATATATACAGACTTTGCAAAAGCCTTCGACAAGTGTGACCATGGCGTAATAGCGCACAAAATGCGTGCTAAAGGAATAACAGGAAAAGTCGGTCGATGGATCTATAATTTCCTCACTAACAGAACACAGAGAGTAGTCGTCAACAGAGTAAAGTCCGAGGCAGCTACGGTGAAAAGCTCTGTTCCACAAGGCACAGTACTCGCTCCCATCTTGTTCCTCATCCTCATATCTGACATAGACAAGGATTGTCAGCCACAGCACCGTGTCTCCTTTGCAGATGACACCCGAATCTGCATGACAGTGTCTTCCATTGCAGACACTGCAAAGCTCCAGGCGGACATCAACCAAATCTTTCAGTGGGCTGCAGAAAACAATATGAAGTTCAACGATGAGAAATTTCATTACTCAGATATGGTAAACATGAAGAAATTAAATCTTCATCAGAGTACAAAACAAATTCTGGCCACAAAATAGAGCGAAACATCAACGTCAAAGACCTGGGAGTGATCATGTTGGAGGATCTCACCTTCAAGGACCATAACATTGTATCAATCGCATCTGCTAGAAAAATGACAGGATGGATAATGAGAACCTTCAAACTAGGGAGGCCAAGCCCATGTGACACTCTTCAGGTCACTTGTTCTATCTAGGCTGGAATATTGCTGCACACTAACAGCACCTTTCAAGGCAGGTGAAATTGCCGACCTAGAAAATGTACAGAGAACTTTCACAGCGCGCATAACGGAGATAAAACACCTCAATTATTGGGAGCGCTTGAGGTTCCTAAACCTGTATTCCCTGGAACGCAGGAGGGAGAGATACATGATTATATACACCTGGAAAATCCTAGAGGGACTAGTACCGAACTTGCACACGAAAATCACTCACTACGAAAGCAAAAGACTTGGCAGACGATGCACCATCCCCCCATGAAAAGCAGGGGTGTCACTAGCACGTTAAGAGACCATACAATAAGTGTCAGGGGCCCGAGACTGTTCAACTGCCTCCCAGCACACATAAGGGGGATTACCAACAGACCCCTGGCAGTCTTCAAGCTGGCACTGGACAAGCACCTAAAGTCAGTTCTGGATCAGCCGGGCTGTGGCTCGTACGTTGGTTTGCGTGCAGCCAGCAGCAACAGCCTGGTAGATCAGGCTCTGATCCACCAGGAGGCCTGGTCACAGACCGGGCCGCGGGGGCGTTGACCCCCGGAACTCTCTCCAGGTAAACTCCAGGTTCCACTCCCTGGCCCTTCTTTGCAGGCTGATAGGACCTTAGCATATTTCATATCTCCTTCCTTCCTGTTCAGCCTCTCAGCTTCGTATGGTGTGTCTTCTCTGGTCACTACCCCTGAGACTTGCTTCAGCCTGTTTACCTCAAATTCTAGGACCTTTACCCTGTCTACTGCAGTTTCGACTTGTGCCTCCCAATTCTTCGTCTCCTTCTCCAACCTCTTTTCCCATTTCACAGAGAGCTCTTTCTCCATTTTTTCAGAAAGCTCTCCTAATTTTCTCTCCCATTCTTGCTCTATCCTTTTCCACTGCTCCTCCATCCATTCCTCCCTACCAGTACCATTGTCATCTGATCCCTGATTCCTGCAAGTCCCAACCATTTTTTTTTTTTTTTTTTTTTTAGTAAAAGAGAAAGTGAAAAAGAAAAAGGGGGAGAGAGTGAGAGAGAGGGAGAAAGAGAGAGAAGGGGAGGGTAGAAGGAGGGGAAAAGGGGGAGAAAGTGAGAGAGAGAGGGAAAAAGTAAGAGAGAGGGGGAGTGACAAAGGAAGAGAGGGAGAGAGAGAGAAGAGGAAGAGAGAGAGAAAGAGAGGAACAGAGAGAGGGGGAGAGAGAGAGGAAGAGGGAGGGAGAGGGAGAGAGAGGAAGAGAGAGAAAGAGAGAAAGAGTGAGAGGAAGAGAGAGAGGAAGAGAGAGAGGAAGATGGAGAGGAAGAGAGGATGAGAGAAAGGAGAGAGAGAGAGAGAGAGAGAGAGAGAGAGAGAGAGGAGAGGAGAGAGAGAAGAGAGAGAGAGAGAGAGAGAGAGAGAGAGGAGAGGAGAGAGGAGAGGAGAGGAGAGGGAGAGAGGCGGGGGGGGCGAAGGAAGGGTTAGAGGGTCACTTCACAGGAAGGTGTGAAATCCTGTATATGGGTGTGTGTGTGTCTGTATGTGTGTACTCACCTAATTGTACTCACCTAATTGTGTGTGTGTGTGTGTGTGTGTGCATTCATGCAACCACGGGAGTATCAACGTGTGTGCGCGCGTGTGTGGGTTCCTGCGTGTGGACGTGCATTTGCACGCTCTTGCAATGCAGCTTCTGAGAATCGTATAATACTATGCTGTGTGAAGTGCTAATCTTGAGCCTCCTTTCATCCCCAG